TATATACAAGATGCTTATATATATCTATCTGGAATTACAAATTTAGGTGTGTGTGTATGCGTATATATATATATATATATATACACACATACACATACCTAACTTTGTAATTCCAGTTTTCAGTTGTTTATTGCCTTCTTTTGGAAGACAGAGAAAATTAGGGTGGTTTTTTCCCCCAGTGGCATTCAGTGGTAGCATAAAAATCTGGAGAAAAATCTGGAGATAGGAATGGGGTGGGAGGGTGTTTCCGCTAATATCAGCTGTTCTGACCACTGTATCATCATCATCATCATCATCATCATCATCATCATCATCATCATCATCATCATCATCATCATCATCATCATCATCATCATCATCATCATCCTAAAACAGCAAATGAACTGGCCAACTAACATTTCTTTTTTTCAGATTAGTGATGTTAATTATATTTGGATGAAGAGGTTTATGATGGAATGCGTTACTAAACAAGAAGCATGGAATTAAGGAAAAATGGTCCGAATGTACCAGCAGGAGACCATATAGCCTTCAGCATCCCAGGTGTCTTTTGATATCTTCTACCTTTAAAACTCTAACCATTTCCAGAAAGGTGAAGTTTTTGCATCGACCATATATTCCCCTAGAATCGAATCTGTGACTATATAAATACCACACAAATTCGGTTCTACAGGGTATATATAGACAACGTAATAACCTTCTGTTTTCCTCTACACGGGGTAACAAAGGCGGCATCACTGAAAGGTTCAGGTCCCTCTTGTTCTCTTCTGAGGAATCCTGCACTACTCTCTGTGGGATAAAGGGCTGAGATTATGGATTGGAAGAATGGAAGGATTTCATAAGAAAACAAAGAAAAATGGTTATGGCTGTGACATTTCTCTTTATCATATCTAGTGTCACAATTTCTAAAAATCGGTTTGTGATGGGTTATGTGACAAACCGCTGTGGATACTTCAGCTTTTAAACGTGCACCGGAGGAAATGAAATGAAAAGGGTTTACTTGCAAGATCATGGCCACTGATTGTTTTAATGATGATGATGATGACAACGACGACGACGACGATCACAACAACAATGCAAAGCATCTTTCAATGCCAATATAAAGCTCTCAGTGCTAAAAGGAGGAGAAAGTGAAATATTCGTTTTAAAAATGAAATAAGATGATTTGTTTCTTTTATGACACTGCTTCCACCATTTCTCCTGAAAGCCAAGAAATAGTAACTTTCCTTGGATACACACACACACACACACACACACAAACGCATGCACAAAGAGTCCTCCAGTTTTCATGTAGTAGCATTTATGGTGAAGGGCAGGGCGGGAGGTCATTCTAAATCATTTACAAACATATCCCTGTGTTTCATTATTTCTACGTTGTCGACAGCAACACACTGGAGTTCCAAAGTTCATGCATTGTGCCTGACCTGGTTCCTGTGGGCTGTCTTGCGCTCCCCTCCTTTGGCTATTCTAACTAACAAACCTTGGGAAAAATTGGAGAGTTTTATAAATGCGAAGGACATGAAGCATCGGGAAGTAAATGGCTTCTCAGACGAGAACCACTCTTGCTTTCTTTTTTCTTTTTTCTTTTTAGGATAAGAGGCAGCTTTGGTTTCAAAAAAGTGGTCTCCTTGAGTCAGAAGGCAGAGAGCAAGTGGATCTCCTAACGAATTTCTGAACTCATCTGGCATCTATTTTCTGGACTGTCTGAAGAGGTTTTATTCTCTCTAATTAGAAGGATGAGGGGTCTCCCCGGCTTGTTCTTTTTTGATTAATAAGCATTTAACAAACAAAACAAAACAAAAATTCAGAATGTGCCAGAGCAGTGAGCAATACAGAACGTGCATGTTTGGTAAAAGACATCACTTTCCAAGGAGGATGTAAAACCATGTCAGGCATGTGGGCAGGAATACTCCAAGCAAGCATGTTTTGGGAGGAGAAATCGTCACAACATTTTGTGCTATAGCACAGATTTTCATATTTGTTAGACAGTGTGACCTGTGTTTCACCTTATTGCACGACTAGTTCAGACAGGTCAAAGCCAAAGGAGTTATTGATGAACAAAAGCGTTAAATATTCACCTCCTGCTCAAATGCCCATAAAAATTCTTTTGATCCATCAAGCCTTTTTGTATCCTGGTTCATAATTAGTATGCTAAAGCTAAGTTTAAGGGAGATGTTTTCCCCTTGAAGAAGAGAAATGGCAAGGAGAAAACAGAACAGAAAGTAAGTGGTCTTCTGCTAAAGTTTTAAGAGCTTACCAAAGAAAACTACTGGAAAAGAAGAAGAAAAAAAAGACTACCGAAGTTCAGCTAGAAAAGAAAATTTGAAGAAGACCGTCCCTCATCTCCATGGTCTAAAGCCATCAAAACACCATTCACAAACAATACTGCGATTTTAAACAGGAAGAAACAGACACCAGTCAGGAATTCAAAGGTAACAGAGTAAGTTTCTCAAAAAGCAAAATGTGGATGGGGGAGGGAGAGGGAGAAGGAAACTTTACTGAAAAGAATCGCTTTTAGAAGAGATAATCCATTTATCTTTTTAAACACAGGAGTGTAATACACTGCATTAAAAAATCGGCTAGAAGACCCAAACTCATTGTATCATAGATACCTGCAAACATTTAAATATTGATGATTTGCTTTCTTTCCTTCTCTTCTTTTTCTTTCACTTTCATTGGAATGAACCCCTCTTTCCCTCCTCTCCCTACCTTCCAACATTTCTTTCTCAAAAATAAGGCATTGACGATTAGTATTATGGACAGTAAAGTGCTCATTTTCTGCTGTAATTCGTAGAAATGTTAAACTCAGGAATATTTCAATGAATCAGAATAGCACAGAGGCATTACAATTCTTATAACAGCATCATCAAGTCACCTTCATTGTCACCCTAAGCATATTTATCGAGAATGCATGCTTTAATTGAAAAAGAGAAGCTTTGTTGTCAAATTGTTTAGGCTGCAAAAATAATATATGTGAACATATCAAGAACATGGTATGGCACCAGGAAATATGTTGATTCTCAAAAGGTTATAGTGTCAGGTTACAAATGCAATTGAATGTTGAAAAGCCCACCATTGAACATACAGTATATGATAAATACATCAGTTGCCCAGGGAAATATTGTGAGAGCTTTCTCCTGTTAAAATCACAATCCTCCTCACTAGCTGGAAGGTACTGATGAGAGGCAGAGTATGATATAATGCACCTGTGCAGCTTTTAATTATCCCCCTAGAAACTGTACAATCAGTGTTTGCTGTTATCTGGAATCATCGTTGCAGAGAAAATTGGTGGAAAGCAAAAATGAACCCCCAAGAGCCATCTAGGAGTAAGAACCTCGGAGAAACACTAAGGATGAATTGTCTCTGTTTAAAAATCCAAAGTTTTCAAGGTAACATCTGGAAACACACACACACACCCAATTTTTGCAAAAAGAAGTTTACTTACTGCAGGTGCCCTTCCATTGTCTCCAACCTGTTGCAATCAAAAAGAGAAAGAGACAAAATGAAGAAATGCACATGATAGTATATTTTTCACAGCCTGCTAATAGTTCACAATTGCAACACTCTCTTCCTGTGTCAGTGAACAATTTTGAGAAGAAAGACATGACATTTAAAAAGAAATATTGGCACACTTTTTCGTATTGATAAATCTGCCTTTTTGGTTATGGCTATTAATATTGATGTTTTATTATTACTATTATTTATGAATGGAACAAGCCCAATTAAATATTTTAGCCCATCACGTATGTGATTTTATAGGATCTTTTTGACTACCCATTTGAACTTTACATTGATAAACACAGAACTTTGCAATAGATACATCCTTCGTCCAGGAAGCTCAGAGCTTCCTTCCCTGGCTTCATGCTAGCCTATAACAAACCTGACCCTCCTGCAGAATTTCTGGGGCATTGTAACCACCTCCTTATTCAGGTAACCGAATGACTTCAATGCCTAGGCCCTTAAAGGTCCTTATAGTTTTCTTAACCTGCTGCACATTCCCTTATTTACAGTATTATGATGATTACAGTGCTTACTTAAACAGACACAGCTTTTCTGCCCTCTTTTTTTAATTGTCCTTTTCGCAATCAAATTCATACTACATCAACATCCCCGTGGGGGTAGACACCACAAGGGTGTTTGCCAAGATGGATGATCAAAGCCGAAACAAAACAAAAATCTTAACACCATTCATCGTTTTGCTGGTATACCCCTCGAGAAGGGCTGCAGAATCCCAAACAGGAGTTTAAGGGAGCTGCCTGTGCTGTACCTTCTTGTCTCACCGATTCGTCTTTCCCCTCCCCTTCAGCTTTATTTCAGAATAACAGGGCCAAGGACGCTGAAATTATTGCAAAGAACGCATTCGCTAAAGCGCTGCCGAGTCAACCCGGGAGTCTGTTTCTTAAATACAATAATAACACCAACGACAAGCAGTTCTAAGGGCGCTGGATCCAGTGCTATTCCTGTAGCATTTTCGAGCTTCCTTTAATCTAGTAGTCTAAACATTTCTACACTGTACAGAGTTTTTCTTTCTTTGTTTGTTTGTTTCAGGAACGCTGGACTCAGTCTACCGGGAGTAAGAAGCGACTTACTGTAAGCGAATTTTCCCCCCCAACGGGAAGAGGAAAGCAACCCGCGAGAAGCGAAAGAAAGGTCCGGCTGAAGCGCTCCGATCCAGCGAGCAGGGCTCTTCCCGCCTCGCACTTGCTCTGTCACTGCTTCCAGGATCTAAAGCATCTGCACTTGTATGCTCTTAAACTAATTTATGGTGGGAATTATATTTTGGCTTGTCAACTCTCAAGCCATAAAACAAAGTTTATTGGAATCACGTGCTTCCAAAGAGCCACTCAGGACTTATCTCAGCGGAACAATAAATAACCTCCAGCTTTAAACTTTTATTCACTTAAATAAAGAGGGCTTGGAAGGGAGGGGAGGGGGGAAAAACAGAGGAAAGCGGTGTGTGTGTGTGTGTTCGTGTTCCGAACGACAGAGCTCTGTGAGATGCAAGTCGTTCGAAATGGCAGAGCTCAGATACGCGAGGCCACGCGCGGGCGCGGGCGCGGGTGTAACGTTTAGGCTAAGTTTTTTTTTAAAAAAAACCTCAGTCGTGGGAAGAAAGCAGCCAAACTGGCAGCTTACTAGACTTCCACTTGATAGTTTTTTGAGGAAAAGGACGTGTGAATTTCACTGTGAGTATCGATGCAAAGTTTATTTGGATGAATGCTGCACGGTGGGCCAAAGGGTGGATAGTGGAGGGCAGGAGGGAAGGTAAGATCATTTAAGCCACACGGAAAACCCCTTCTGTATGTAGGATCCTCCCAACTCGCTGTCTACAGTTTTTCTCCAGTGTCATGAATCCGGGCAATTCGGTTGCCCTCAGAAGACTGCGATGCAAAACGTCTCTTTTGTTGAAGTCTATAAGCTGGGAGGGTGTGTTTGCATGCATGCACAGACCTACAGACACGCGAGCGCATGCATGTGTGCCTAACGTGGTGCCTATGCGTATGCATCTATGTCCATGTTTTCATGTATCTCTGATGTACAGTAAATGGGTCGTGGTTCTCTGTCCGACAAAGATCATCTCGGTTCCTTTTTGCTATGCCACTCTTGTAAACAGTGTCGGGGACGGGACAGGGGAAACTATCTACCAATGTTGGCAGATAAAGCCATCTATCTCCAACCTCCAGGAGCAGCGGCAGTATACCTGTGAATCACAGAGGGTGAGTAGCAAGGAAGGAAAGAGGAGGACCATGTTTTTCCTGCCCGGAAGGGGAGGTTCGAGGTGGTGTCTTGGCTGGCAAAATGACGAGCAGAGGGGTTCTCATTGTGAAGGTCTTATTCTGAGGTTCTTATTGTGTCGCGCCTTCTGTCTCTCTCCTCGAACTGGTCAAACTGTTTCAAAGCGCCCCCGGGAGGGGGAGGCTGGAGTTAACAAGACCTGTAAAAGGCTGAGCCTCTTCATGTCCTTTCTTCTCTCCGCCCCCGCCCCCGCCCCCCGCCTGAGAACTTTGATAATTGAAGCTTTGAGAAGAGTTATAAAACAAGAAAAGGAGCCCCGTGTAAAGAAAAGGTAAAAGCAAGAAAAGCAAGAAGAGCAAGGGAGGGAGGGAGGGAGGAGTGAGCAAACAAACGTCGAATGCAGTCAGGCTTCACTCTGAAACACAGGAAATGAAGTATTTCCTATTGGAGAATCGAAGTCGCTTTTAAGTGAAAAGCTTTCAGAACTTTTCTATAAATGATGTTTTGAAATCTCACCGGTAATTGTTTTTCCAGTTATGTGGGTTAAGTAGGGGGAAACTGATTAAAGTGACCTCAGTAATACTGAGAAACAATAGGGGAAAGAAAGTTCTGTAATTGAAAGAGAGGAGGCAGAAATCTTTGAATGGCTGAGACCCCATCCGCTTCCCCACTCCCACCACATCCGCGGATCCCACGATCCCTGTGTAATTCTTTATGGAAATCACACCTCGTATGGCGTCTAGATAGGTCGCATCGCATAGGGTTTAAGTTGTATAAGGAAGCAGGATTTTTGCCAGATAGTTCAGGAGTCACGACTGACTGTACCTCGGAAACAAGCGCATTAACAGCCAGGGCTGACTCGCACCTGATGGAAACGCTTCTGAGGTCCAGACCTGGACTCTTGGAATCAGTTCAAAGTGCTTGGAGGTCTGCCTGATATCAAGCTAAACCCGCTTCCCAACCCCCATTGGCACATTAGTTAGAAGTAAACTCCATAAATAGCAGCTGTACTGAGTAGCTCGTGTCCCACTGATTTCAAGGAGTCTGCCCTCAGCTTGCTTATTTGGATAGAGCTTCATGTGTGCAGAATCCAGTTGAAAATTAGTTTAGCCCACACACCTGAGTTTACAAGGGCTTAAATACAACCATAATAGTTTTAAATTAAGAGAAAATAGGTTACAGTTCCTCCACATTTCCTCCAAACAGCTACTCATTCTGTTCAGTAAGACATATTTAAGAACAAGGCAAATGCTTAGGAGTCTGGCTACTTTGGGTATCCACATTTATTCAAGATGTTGATCAAGTCATGTTATTTTAGGGTAGCAGATAGGTCTTGTCTAAGGAAAAAAGACCATTCTAATTTTCAAGGCAGGAATATTTTCAAAGAACACCACACCTATGGTTAAAAGAGACTTTTCCAAACAAGAGTGAAATCAAAAGCAGAAACAGAGCTAAATCTTCATGGAGTTTGAATTCAGTTTGGAAAACAGCAACTGTAGTTCAGACAAGACTGTACGATCCACTTTATGCATATCAATTGGGACAGATGAGTGAAACTAATCTGAAGGGATAATCTGTTTAGTTAAACTAGCATTTTCAGCCAATACATGGAGTTGTACTATGTTGTTCCCTCGCCCTCTCCTGCAGGCACCCATGTTTCCAAAATCTCTCCCAACGAAAAGTATTCACATTAGATAGGAAGGTTCAAAGGTGCCTATGGTAAGGATCCAATCTCCTACACCCTATGCATGCAACCAGGAGATAAACTCCAGTGAGACTTACTCCCAAGTAAGTGTGCAGAAGATTACAGTACTCTTGTTTCAACTGGAATGAATGGTACTTACTTCAAAGCAGCTGAAATGAAAAACACACAGACATTGGATTTTTGCCTGTGGGCAATGGTTTCATAGCAGTGGTTTCCATTCCCTCTACCCGGACTTTTTGACAGCAGATTATTTATTTTGACTGTTAAGTGTATGCAAAAAAGTCTAAAAAGCCCAGGCTCAGTGGAGTGGAATTTACAGAGCTGAAAATAGAGAAAACCCATTGAAATCATAAATCTCTGAAATCCTGTTGGTTCCAATGATTCTGTCTGATTAGTCTGGATCCGGTCCACAGGATTCACACCAGCTGGATCCTATTGACTCTGTACCAGTATTCGGTTCCCTTGGCTTCTGAACTTGCAATTGAACTTAAGCAGGGAAACTGTACATAGGATTGCAGCTTGGGATGCAACTTTACCGTGTTTTAAACGTGTCTTGCTTCCATGACACACATGTATAAATTGGTTGCCTCCAAGTCCTTCCACTTACCTGGATGTTGAACCCAATGGCTGTCTTGGGCATAGCGGTGTGTGTGTGTCTAATTCTGTGAATAATATAATTAGTTGCTTTCCAACAAGCAATTAATTGGAAAACTGAAATCTCCATTATTGGAGTATATTCTAAGTTGTCATTGAGATATTCTGGGGCTATAATCCCCCCCTCATCCTCCCCCCGAAAAATTGAACAGGTAAGGAAGTTCAAAGCATTTGTGAGGTACCATGTTGGAAAAGGTTATTCTAAGTGGCAAATCCTTCCAGATGTTGATTTGGAAATATGTATACTGTGCACCAACCTTGACATGGGGGCTTCAGTGCCACAAGCAAGTCATGAAGGAGATCTCTCCTTTTTTGGCAGCTGTCCAAGTCCATGACACCAAATTTCTGAGCAACTAGTAAGGAAGTGGTGGTCTTAC